TCATGACCTGAGCCGAAGGCAGACGCTTAACCATCTGAGCCACCCAGGCGCCCGCTTCCCTGTTCTGTTAATTAAACTTTGGAACATTGAAACCTGGGCTGTGGGAGATGATTGGATAGAAAGCATTACTCTATTCATTTACTACCTCCCAGCCTACAAAAAAGAAAAAAAAAGAAAAAAAAAACAACTTTAATAACATTTACTTACTTTGTTACAACTATATTATTAAATTTTCAGGCTTTCAACTTAAAAGCTGTCATGTTTATATTTATTTTGAATACTGTACTTCTACAAGTTTTATTTCTAAAAGCATAGGGTACTGATTTAATTAATACTGCACTTTTGTAAGCTTTAGCAGATGGTTTCATATTAGCACAGCAGTATGTCTGAGGAATTTGCTCTCTGAAAGTAAAAGTATATAAGAAATAGATAAATGTATTCAAAGTACAAATATGTAATATAGCTTCCTTTTTTTGTTTCTTTTAAGATTTTATTTTTAAGTAATCTCTACACCCAGTGTGGGGCTTGAATTTACAACCCCAAGATTGAGTCACTGCTCTACCTACTGAGCCAGCCATGCACCCCTATAGTATAGCTTATTAAGATCATATAGTTTGAGTTTCTCTTTCAGTTATGACAGTATGTAAATTTTCTATCACTGTTATAGCCTCTGTTACACTCCCTTGGTTTTAGGTTAAGAGCATTAATTACTTGAGCTGTCTATATCTCATTTCCTCCTCATTTGTTAAATGAGAGAGACTGTTACCTACTTTGTAAGTTTATTGTGGAAGTTTATAACAACGGTTAATAAAAGCCCTTTACAAAGCCTGGTACATAGTAAACAATTATTCAAATAAGCTACACTGATAGGGCTCAGCTTTTTTTCACTGCTGAACACTCAGTCACCGGGGGAACCCTTTCCTTTCAATATTGCTCTGTACAATTACCCGTCAGTTTAGTGATGTATGTTATTGTTAAGTAACATGGTTTACAAATAACATTATTACAGTGATTTCTACTTTTGAAAGACTGATAAAAGTCTCTATTCTTCCTTTAATTCAGTTGACATTTACTGAGTATACAAGATAAGTAGAAGAAATAACATTGGGCCTGATGTCAAGAGAACTGTCTACACATGTATTCATTATAATAACATTTTTGCCTTTATTTTGCATTAATGCTTCTTTTAATAACTGTGCAGATTTTGATTGTTCTTCTCTGTTTTAGAAGGTGGTGGACCCAGGAAAAGAAAATTATCATCTTCTTCAGAGCCATATGAGGAAGATGAATTTAATGATGATCAGTCTATAAAAAAGAAAAGACTGGATCATGTAAGTTACATTTGAACTGCAGTATCAGAATCAGCTGTTAGGCATAGAATATCTTGAATTTGTGGATATTAGACCTAAATGAATCACTCCTTTTTCACAACCAAATCAGAATGTGTTTACATTTCATTTATGATTTTGTTGTTTTCTTTTTAATTTATCTGGTATTAAGTGCTTATCTCTGAGTTATAAAATCAATTATTAAAAACATTCTAGTGGCATGATAAAGTAACTTTGGGAAAATATACTTTGAATATATAATTGAACACTTAAGAAAAATGGCTGTTATCACCACCAGCACCATTTCCTCCTCCTCAGTGGCAGCTGTTTATAATTCTTCTAGATGACATCTTTGATATTTAACTGCTTATCTAAAAGTAATTACGGTTATGCTTTTATTGGGTTACTCTATAGTTTTCCATTAACTTTTCACTTTATGAATAGAACTACTGAGAGGCCTCCCAGTGAAACCAGACATAGTCCTCCCTGCCTGCATTCAGGACAACACAATTTTTTCTTGGTAATCAAAATCAAAATCAGTTACCCCAACTAGTATAATAACCTTTTTTTTTTTTTTTAATGTGTGATTTAATGGTATAAGAAGCCCAGAGTAGCCAGGTGGCAATCTCTACCCTAATTTAATGAGACAATGTTATGTCCCTACATGGAAGCATTTTTTTCTTAAGAACTTAATACTGATGGGAAGTAAAAATTCTGTGATTGGGTTTTTAGCTATGAGGAACAGCTGTAGTATAAGAGCCTAGGCCCACATTTTATTTTACAGATCTATATATAATGGCTGTGGGGAAAATAGCATCATATTGATTGCTGATTCAAAGCATTTATTTTCTTTGTACATCCTGTTGAATAACACATCAGTCTTGGGTGTTCTCCATAAGTTCATGTGCTGAATTTTCACTAAGTGGTACCACTGTTCTATAAGCCTGCTGCTTCTGAGTATTGAGGCCCATGGTGAAATCACTGAACTTGGGCATGAATTCATTGATGCACTTTTCTTAGCTCCCTGGCCAGGAGCATTATGGTGTCACAGTGTACTGTGTGAATTAGGTTTTCTCTATATCTGTATATGATATGTTAGTTTCCTAGGGCTGCCATAACAAAGGAGCACAAGCTGGGTGGCTTAAACAACAGAAATGTATTGTCTTACAGTTCTGAAGCTAGTGCATCAGAAGGGTTAGTTTCTTCTGAAGGCTTTCCATTATTCTTTGTTCCTGGTGGTTTGATGGCAACTTTGGTGTTTCTTGGCTTGTAGATCCTTGCCTTCGTCATCACATTGTGTGCTCTTTGTGTGCATGTCTCTCTCCAAATTTCTCCTTTTTGTAAGGACACCAGTCATCAGATTAGGGCTTGCCCTAATTTTAATTTGATTATCTCAGTAAAGACTCTGTCTCCAAATAAAGTCACATTCTGAGCTACTGGGTGTTATTCGTCACATGAATTTTGGAGAGACAGAATTCAACCCATAACTGATATTGCCAGAAGCAAGTAGAAAGGCAAGGCAGCTTCCGGTAGTTTTCTATTACTGTCCCTTCCATGATGAAAGGGGTCCAATGTAATCAGCTTTCCACCAGACAGTTGACTGAATCTCCCAAGGAATGGTGGTATTGTGGAAACTCATTGTTGGCCTCTTCTCTTGGCAAGTCAAGTATTTGTTGGTAGCAATGGTCAGATAAATCTTGGTGTGGGACTGTCTTGTTGATTTGTATGCACAGCCTCAATTCCTGTTACCATGGCCATTTGTATGTAGACCCATTGAGCAAGCATTCAGATGGCTGTGGTGGTATTGGTATTCACAAAATAGATCATCTTGTCTATCTGATTACTAAAAATTTCCTCTGTAGTAGATGGCCTTTGCTGAACATTCTCAAGGAAAACTGTTTCCCTTGCATTCTGTTCTCAGAAAAACTCCTGATAAGTTCAACAGTGCACCTCTTTCCCAGACTTCTGGTTACCGATCTTTTACTCTTACTCTCCTTCTTGGCTTCTGTCCATACTTTATCATAGCGCTATACATCTGGCCATCTCTTTCTATACAAAAGGGACAGTAAGATGTACTGCCCAAAGTTGTGCACAGGGCTACTCTTTTAAAAGAGGTTAAGTCATAGCAGTTGTTTACTTCACTTTGGGCTGCTTCTAACAGTATGAAACCCTTTGAAAACCAAGTTCAAGATTTTCCCTCATTATTTGATCATAAAGAATTCCCAAAAGTGCCGTAGATACTGGTTGAAGGAGGGGCAGCAGTAAAGCAGAAGTAGGTACTGTGGGAGTCTGGGACTGCTGCACATGCAACTTATTTGTGCCTCCTGAACCTGCTCAAGTCGAATTTCAGTCTCCCATTTTGATGATGGGTTGCTGCTGTTCATGCCCAGTTTTAGGCTTGGTAGATGAGATAGATCACATCAGCTCAAGTCTCATGGTCATTTAATGTCCCATGGCCAACCATTCTGTTCCTATCAGGACTCCCTATCAAGCCAACAATTGTTTTACAAAGAGAGAGAAGTCCATTATGTTTTTAAAAGGTGAATTTGTTCCAGTGCAGTAAATATGTTAAACAGCAGTTTTAGTGTAGCCTAAATTTTGTGTTATTTATGTACAGTTTTGTTCATGAGAAGTACTAGATGAACACAGAACACTGTACACAGCTGCACTGGGCCACATAGGAGTACATAAAATGTACACACCCCAAACATCTACTGGCTCCCTCATTTTACCATGTTTATTATCCCATGAGTCTGTGTTTCTATTCTTTCACAATGGTGAACTTTTTGGGAAAAAAGCACCTGTTCCACATCCCGAACATATCTAAGCAATCTTGTTCAAAAATATCAGGCAGTACATACAAAAGGAAAGTTTTAAGTGTTGAAGAAAAGCTTGAAACAAACATTTGGGAAGAAATAAGGATATGCTATATCCTGAGCAACAGGCATAAAGGAATGCACATTGTGAAGCATCAGAGACAGTGCCACAAATATAATACAGCCAGCCTGTCGTGAAATGCTGGGATAGGCATAAAGAAATAGGAGAAAAGTAAAGATGGTTGAGCATTTGAATTAAAGATCAAAGAGTGAAAAAATCAGGAACACCCCTTTCCATCTAGATCTTTATATACAAAGCCTTTTTAAGGAAATAACTGTATCCTGCAGAAGTAGCTTCTTTCGGTGCCACTAGTGGTTGCTTTAGTAGTTTCAAACAGTGCTGCAAATTCCTAAGCCATCAGCTGTCACGCAGAGCAATGAGTGCAGATGGGAAAGCTGCAAAAGAATTTTCCAGGTGTGATACAGAAGTAAACAAAAGGAAGCAACTGTACATTGAATTAAACTCTAAATTTTGACAAAACAGGTATCTGTTACAAATGCCTGCCTTACAAGTCCCAAATCTGAAAGACAGAAAAGAGGAATTAGGGCTTTGAAAGATGGCATTACTTGATGTTCAGCACTAGTGCCAGGTAGAGACTTAGAGCTAAAACCAATAGTAGTTTATTACTTACCAAACTGAGCTGAGCCTTTTAAAAGAAATAAAGTCAGCCTTAGAGTTCACTATAGGTATAGAAAAAATGGATTTGGATTGCCCAAATCTGCATTGATACTTCTACTTAATTCTTGTCTGTTGTAAGAGAATTATTGTAAAAACAATAGCAAGTGAAAAAAACTTTCCTTAAAAACTCTTATAATGCATCAAGCCTGCCTATTTACAAAAACCGAACTCAACCCCATTTTTTTCTTCTTTTTGCCTCAGAAAACCACCGCTCTGAGATAGCCCTGTGATAAAAGTGTGATTACATCATTTATGGCTTACTATTTAAAGTGAGCCCT